AACTATACAAAATCACCACGGCACACTATTTAACTTAATCACCACTACACACTATATAAAACCATCACCACTACTCACTATACAAAGTCTTCAGCACTACACACTATACAAAATTATTACCACTAGACACAATACAAAATTTTTACCACTACACATTATACAAAGCTATCACTACCACACACTCTTTAAAATCATCTCAACTATTCACTGAACAAAATTATCACAACTACACACTATACAAATCCATCATACTTCACACTATACAAAATCCACTATCCATATCGATCACTACTATACATTATTTAAACCATCACCACTACCCTATCTTGAGGTTATCTTGAGATGATTTCAGGGCTTTTTTAGTGTCCCCGCGGCCCGGTCCTCGATCAGGCCTCCACCCCCAGGAAGCAGCCCATGACAGCTGACTAACACCCAGGTACCTTTTTTCCTGCTAGGTAACAGGGGCATAGGGTAAAAGAAACTCTGCCCATTGTTTCTCGCCGGCGCCAGGGATTGACCCCGGGACCACAGGATCACAAGTCCAGCGTACTGTCCGCTCGGTCGACCGACTCCCTACTATACAAAATCCTACCCTACTATAATCCGACCCTGCTATACAAAATCATCACCACTACCCACTATACAAAACCATCACTAAAAAATCACCACTATACGCTCTACAAAACCATCACTAAAAAAAAACACTTCTACTGTTATGGTGCCCTCTCCAATATCTTCCCTTTTCCAGCAAGAGTCATATCTCTACATCCTGTAGATTCCCTGAGATATTCATTTGAAGGATTCATTTGAAATAGGTGGCAATTAGTAAAAGTGCTTATTTGGAGAGTAAAAATCAAAACTAAAATACCCTTACAAGGGGGCTTACGCCTCTAGTGTATACAAGATGGCAACAGGCCGACCAAGTTGCGCCAAAAACTTTGAGGGCACAGCATTTGGTGATTGGCTGGCCATAGTCACGTGCCGAAGCTGACCAATAGGGAGCCACAGCCCAATGTGACGTTACTGGGCTGCCAAGCTGAAGGCTTGCAGAACGCCTGGCGCTCAGAGTCACACAGCGCTAAGCAGAGAGTGGACGTGCGCCAGAGGTGCTCTCAAGTTTGGAGGTTTAAGAGCCTTGACCAGTGGATGCATGCAGCCTGACATGTGTAATAGCACTATGTTATAAATAATGGTGTGTGGAGCTTCTATGGGGAACTGGTACTATTAAGGGGTAAGGGTAGTTAGAAGACAAGAGTATCAAATATGGGAGAGCTAAAAGGCCCGGCCCCCAAAATAAACTATCCACAGTAGTAATAACTTGCTACTAGACCATATATGTTAGTCTAAGGGTTGATCAATGCGCTCCCACACAGGAAGAAGGGATACTCTGTAATTCATGTACTTATTTATTAACCCCTTAACAACCCCCCATATACACTCACACCAATAACAATAATAATAATAACTTTACCACACTATCTTACGTTAAAAGCCTTGGTCCACATAGGCAGGATACAAGGTTTACACTAATAACAAGCTAGGGTAAAGTACTACTGGATAAGCACTGAAGCTGGATGCAGCTTAGGGTAGTGAGACCCCACGTGGTACCCTAATACAAAACACAACACTTAGGGTTACCCAAAACACTGGCAACTACTACCCCCAGGTCTCACCAATCGTTACTACCAGAGAAGGTACACTTAGAAATCATACAATACTTAACTTAATGGTACAGGAACTTAAGGTAAGGGAAATAAGTAAGAGGAGAAGGGAGGAGATTAGGGGTGCAGCCACAGAGTAGGTCTCGTCCGCACGAACGCCAGCCAGAGAAGAACCTCCTAGCGACCAGCTAGGCCTCCCATGTCGTGGTGCCGGAAGGAGCCTAATTGATCGTGCAGCTAAGCACATTAAAGATCTTCCCTATGCAACGTATTGTTACTTTACAAATGATTAGAAAGTATTAGTAAGCAAAGTTGGTGCCTATGTTATTATTTAATAATCAACCCCCAGCTCAGTCTTTAAATGCTCTTTGAGAAACAATAATAGTCTTACGTCTGGCAGGGAAGATACAAACAATTGCCGCTAGTGATGCACTCAACTGTACTACCAGAAAGTTTAATAGCTCAATTTTGACCTCTGGTTTCCACTGGAGAACCCAGGGTCGTAACACACTACAGAAGACTTGTGACTTTAGGGAAGTACGAAGAAACCAAGTTCCAGAGGTGTAAGGACGTCGAGGATTGTGAGCTGTCAGTCTTGAAGGAGTTGGGCGACAGAGAAGGGGCCGGAGCAGCGAGTGGTAATCCGCAAGTGGGCCGCCAAGGACAACACAGAGCTGCAGTGACCGGGTCACATCCACTAGGGACCAAAAGCAAGCATCGTGTCCGGATCTAGGAGAATCAGTCTCAGTGAAGGAATGAGTAAGGGAGACACCGACGCAGGAATCTACTGATAGGACCAGGTTGGAGGAACTGCAATTTGGGAGTGAGGACGGCGTTGACACGTTGCTTCATAACGCCCGAGAACCTGTGAGTCTCGACCAGAATGCCAAGGAGTGACCCAGGAACTGAGGACCATTACGACCATCGGAACACAGGCGACTGAGGTCAGGATGGTTAAGGTAGATCATTAATTCACTCCCACTTTCCCTTGAAAGTTAGACAAGTTAGGCCCATTAACACATATATATATTTAGCGAGCTCTTAGTATTTTAGGAGTAGGATAGGCTGTAGGTCACTGCGCATATATCTACTACCAGTGTGTCGGCAGCAGCTGGCGAGTGGGCAGGCCGTGACGGCAGTGAGTGTCGATGAGGAGCAGAGCTACACGCAGCGGAAGGGCTGAGGCCCCTTTTAATTCGCCCAGCTGATTCGAGTTGCCAGAGGAGCGCTGCTGACACTTGCTATATATTTACCCTAAACACATGTCTTTTGCATGTTTGTTGTAGTTTTCTTGTAGTAAACTTTGTTTATTTTTACCATTGACTTTCTATGTGTCCTCCATCGCGTTGATTATTCAGTGAAAGTGATAATATATTGCACCACACTAATAATATCAGAAGGTAACCCCCTGGGCTAGCAACATTATATCAGTTTAAATTAAGCTTTGCTGGGGTGCAAAGATGAGTAACCCAGCTGGTGATCAGTGGAAAGGAGAAGATTTCAGGTGAGTACCGGAGGTCTGGTACATTATTGCACATGTCTCAGTGGGCAAGCCCGGTAAAGGTGCTTCACGCTGCAGGGTCGAGGACCTGCAGTGTGAGTTGGGTTTTCTCCTCTTCCCCTTGGGTCCCAGGTCAAGTAGTGGGCAGCAAGACAAGACTTTGAAAACTACTGTCCCTGGGTTGACAGTCGTACCCCAGTAGAAGGGAGCGAAGACCTGCTGTGAGGAGTTACGCTATCACTAACATAGCAGTTCCGTTGTTTGATTGTAACTCCCGCCAGTCAAAACCAAAGGCGTTTGACACTACACACTATTCAAAACCATCACCGCTACACACAATACAAAACTATCAGCAATACACACTATGCAAGCCCCTAACCACTGCACATTAAACCTAACCATCAGCACTACACACAATATAAAACAATCACCACTTCACACTATTCGTAAAAAGAAAGGCAATATATTACAAACAATTTTTTAAAGCCAAACAAAACTTTTATTTACTTTATATCACCATAATTCACTTGTTGTTCTTAACATCAGCTCATGTGACCCTCTCATCCCACCCACCTTATTTGTTCTTCTACCAAGTGGCTTAACCCATCACTAATGCTTGGTACTATGAAGCATTTCGTTATAAACCATGTGTCACTAACGTTGATTGGTCACATGCTTCAAGAAAATATTCAACTTTCCTCTTGAACTCATAAACCCCTCGGTTTCTGACCCAAATGGCTGGGTTAGGTTTGGCTAAACGGGAGAGCGACAGTCCCGCTCCATACAAGTTGGCGTTCAATCTCCGACCGTCAAAGTGGTTGGGCACCATTCCTAACCCCATCCCATCTCAATCCTTATCCTGATCCCTTCTAAATGCTATATTCATCTCTAATGGTTTGGCGCTTTCTCCTGATGGTTCCCTTCCCTTAATTCTTGTGAGCAGGAGTTCTTCATTTAATATAAATTTTATGCACAAAGAAACCCTTTTAACGTGATGTATCAATGAGAAAATCAGTTGGAGATATATCGGCACGAGCTTGGGAGTACCCATTGTGCAGGTTCGATTCCTCCTCATGGCTCTTATTGAGTTTCTCAGAAATTGTTGTTATATAACAGTATTTTGTGATCAGAAAAACTCAAAAAATTCCAAATCTTATCTCTGATTTCAGGTTCAGGGCTCCAGATCCGAGGCCACATTTTGCCCATTGTGTGGAAGAATTCGAACAGATGGAATCACTAGCTCTGATGGATCGGTACTAGGCTATTGGGATATTATGGCAGTGAGACAAGCTTGCTGGACATTTAGCATGTATACTTTCTTCTTTAACAAGAGTAAAATCTCACTGTGTATATACCGAAATGCTGAACATTCCTCTCTGTGAAAATGTCTATACAGCGCAATCTTCCCACATTTTTATAAGTGCTTGCAAGTATGATTGCAAAAATAGGTTTGTGTATTGAGATCGCAGATTCTTATTTCAGTTAAGAAGAAAATCAATATATTGAAGACTAAATCACACACCAGAGTATGAGGAGAAGACGACGTTCTCATAAATTCCTTCTCAAAAGATTCTCATAAATTCCCTTTGAGCGGCTGGAGCCACAGATGTGACTCCAGCCGCTCAAACCAAACAATCGACTTGATAATCGTCCTGGACGGACCTAAATGTCGTCGTCTCATCTTCTGGTGTGTGGTTTAGTTTTAATATCTTCAGCCACTTTATTGCGACTCATCCTCTGCATCAATACAGATATACATTAATGATATACCGTTACTACAACAATATATATACAAAAATGTCAAAAGTTGAGGATGTGTATGAGACAAGTTCCATTACCTTTATGATCATGAGTGGTGCGGTTGTGTTTGTCTCCAAGATGGTGCTGAACATCTGTGGCTCCAGCCGTTCAAAGGGACCACCAAGCATCTGTATCTGCTTCGTTTCCGTGATACCAGCATTGTTGATGAGCAAGTTGAGACCGGATGATCCTACAGCCTCCCACACCTGGTCCACTAACCCAGGTAGACTCTCGAAGTCAACCACATCTGTGAACATCCATCCACATTTATTGTGTGTGTGTAAAGCACCACAGTGAAATAGTAAGTAGTAGTGAACGCTTTCATCCTATCAGAAGCACAGAACATCTCTGAACTACCGTCAGAAATGCCAGAGGGTCAGCAGGAAGGAGACAGAAGAGAAGCAGGTGCCAACTACCAATGAACAGCGACAAATTATTTAGATATGGGGCAAAAATTTAAACACTACCTGAAAAAAAATTGCAATTAAATAAAGATCAATGGAACACTTGACACATCACCCATAATGTATCTACACAGTAGTAAAGCCTGTTAATTAAATATGAAAAACAAAACAAACTACTCAGAGCACCTAAACAACAGAAATGCCAGCTCTCGTCCAGAGCATGGGACCAGATGTGAGTCGATGTGACACACAATCCAAGCTGCCACTAGAGTCCAGTAAGCAATTCTATTGACAAATCTGTTTAAATTTAAAGCAATTTAGGGCTGAATTCCATATTTTATTACTATATCTAACTACATTAGATTCAGTTATATTTCTGCCAATAAAAGATTTGCTATAGGTAAAAGATTTTGCATTAATCCAGTCAACAGCTATGTCAATAGGCCGTTCTGTGTGTAATGAAGTAAGGGGAAGAGGGAGAACGGCCTATTGACATAGCTCGAATGCATGGGGGAGTTGTGTAAAACCCTGGTTTGTGTCTCGGAGAGGCTGCAGGATGGATCCAGTAAGTTCAGTAGAACTACGGTTTCAACTCTTTTGACCATGTCGTAGCTCAGACGATAAAGGCAGCGTCTGGGATGATCTCGGACGTAGGTTCGAATCCTCGTAACGGCCCTTGTGGATTTGTTCTTTACCTGTAACTGTCTCTGTATGCTTACCTGTCACTGTCCCTATGCCTGTCTGTCTGTCTCTGAATGCCTGCCTGTCTCTGTCTGTGTCTATATGCCTGTCACTGCCTCTGTATACATATATGTCTGTGTGCCTGTCTATCTCGGTCTCTGTAAGCCTGCCTGTCTCTGTATACCTGACTTATACCTGACTGTCTCTGTCTCTGTATACCTGACTGTCTCTGTCTCTGTATGCCTGCCTGTCTTTGTATACCTGACTGTCTCTGTTTCAGTATGTTGGTCTATCTTTGTACGCCTGCCTGTCTCTGGATGCCTGCCTGTCTCTGTCTCTATATGTTTGCCTGTCAGTGGATGCCTCTCTGTCTCTGTATGCCTGACTGTCTCTGTCTCTGTATGTTGGTCTATCTTTGTATGCCTGCCTGTCTCTGTCTGTGTCTATATGCCTGTCACTGTCTCTGTATACGTATATGTCTCTATGTGCTTGTCTATCTCGGTCTCTGTTTGCCTGCCTGTCTCTGGATGCCTGCCTGTCTCTAGATGCCTGCCTCTCTCTGTCTCTATATGCCTGCCTGTCTCTGGATGCCTGCCTCTCTCTGGATGCCTGCCTGTCTCTGTCTCTATATGCCTGCCTGTCTCTGGATGCCTGCCTGTCTCTAGATGCCTGCCTGTCTCTGTCTCTATATGCCTGCCTGTCTCTGGATTCCTGACTGTCTCTGTCTCTGTATGCCTGACTGTCTCTGTCTCTGTATGTTGGTCTATCTGTGTATACCTACCTGTCTCTGGATGTCTGCCTGTCTCTGTATGCCTGCCTGTCTCTGTATGTTGGTCTGTTTTTGTACGCAACCCTGTCTCTTAGACGCCTGTCTGTCTCTGTATGCCTGCTTGTCTCTGGATGCCTGCCTGTCACTGTATGCCTGTGTGTCTTTGTGCATGTCTTTATCTGAATGCCTGCCTGTCTCTATATACCTGCCTGTCTCAGTATGCCTTTATGTGTCTGCATAAATTCCTGTCTCTGAATGCCTGCCTATCTCTATCTCTGTATGTTTCCTATCTTGGTCTCTGTATGCGTGCCTGTCTCAGTCTCTGTATGCCTGTCTGTCTTTGGATGCCGTCCTGTCTCAGTCTCTGTATTCCTTTCTGTCACTGTATTTGTCTCTGTATGCCTGTCTCTCTCTCTGTATGTCTGTCTGTCCCTGTGAGCCTGCCTGTCACAAACTCTGTATGCCTGTCTGTCTATGTCTCTGTAAGTCTGCCTGTCCCTGTATTTATATACCTGTATGTCACTCTCTCTGTATGCCTTTCTGTCTCTGTATGCATGTCTGTCTCTGTCTCTGTATCCCTACCTGTCTCTGTATGCCTGCCTGCCTCTTTCTCTATATGCCTGCCCGTTTCTGTCTCTGAATGCCTGCCTGCCTCAGTATACCTGCCTGTCTATATATGTTTGCCTGTCTCTGTATGCCGCCTGTCTCTATCACTGAATGCCTGCTTCTCTCTGAATACGTGCCCGTCTCCGCCTCTGTATACCTGTCTCTGACTCTTTATGCCTACCTGTCTCTGACTCTGTATGTCTATCATTTTCTCTTTATGCCTGCCTGTCCTTGTATTCCTGCTTTTCTCTGTCTCTGAATGTCTGTCTCTTTCCATTTATCTGAATGTCTGTCTCTTTCTATTTATGCATGTCTCTCTCTTTCTTTGTATGTCTGTCTCTGTCTCTGTACGACTGACTGTACTCACCTAGTTGCACTCACCTAGTTGTGCATGTGGGGGTTGAGTTTCGACTCAATGGTCCCGCCTCTCAACAGTCAATCTACTAGTGTACAGATTTCTAAGCTCTGTCATATCTACATTTGAAAATGCTTTTATTTAAATTTTTATCTATATATTTTTTATTGATATATACAAGAGTTCGTACATTCTTGTACAACCACTATCACGCATAGCGTTTTGGGCATGTCCTTAATCCTAATATTCCCCGGATACGACCTCAACAAATCGATTAACAACCAGGTACCCATTTTACTGTTGGGTTAACAGTGGCTACAGTTAAGGATTGACGCCCAGTAAATCCTTAACTGGGACAAAAATGTCTCTGTTTATGTATGCCAGCCTGTCTCTGTCTGTAGGTCTGTATTCACCTAGTTGTATTCACCTAGTTGTGCTTGCAGGGGTTGAGCTCTGCTCTTTTGGCCCGCCTCTCAACTGTTACTAACTACCTATTTTTTTTTCTCACACACACACACCCAGGAAGCAGCCGGTATAACAGTTGTCTAATTCCCAGGTACTTATTTACTGCTAGGTAACAGGGGGCATCATGGTGAAAGAAACTCTGCTCATTTGTTTTCGCCTTCACCGGGGATCGAACCCGGAACGAGAGGACTAGAATCCGAAGCGCTGTCCAATCAGCTGTCAGGTTGTTAGGTTTGTGTCTCTTTATGTCTGACTGTATTTGTATCTGAATGCCTGCCTCTCTCTGCTACTGTATTGCTGTCGTCCTATGTCTATATGCCTGGCAGTCTCTGTATGCCTGCCTGTACTCACCTAGTTATGCTTGCAGGGGTTCAGTTTTGGCTCTTTGGTCCCGCCTCTCAACAGTCAATCAACTGGTGTACAGATTCCTGAGCCTACTGGGATGTATCATATCTACATTTGAAACTGTGTATGGAGTCAGCCTTCACCGCATCAATTCCTAGTGCATTCCATTTACTAACTACTCTGACACTGAAAAAGTTCTTTCTAATATCTCTGTGGCTCATTGAGTACTCAGTTTCCACCTGTGTCCCCTTGTGCATGTACCACCCGTGTTAAACAATCCATCCTTGTCTACCCTGTCAATTCCCCTGAGAATCATGTATGTAGTGATCATGTCTCCCCGAGCTCTTTTGCCTTCGGGCGCTGTCAGCTAGTTTCCTCAGCCTTTCCTCGTAACACATACCTCATAGTTCGGGGACAAGTCTAGTGGCATACTTCTTAACTTTTTCCATTTTCGTCTTGTGCTTTACAAGGCATGGGTTCCATGCTGGGGCCGCATTCTCCAGGATTGGCTTTACATACGGGGTATACAAGGTTCTGAATGATTCCTTACAAAAGTTTCTGAAGGCAGTTCTGATGTTAGTCTGCCTCGCATACGCCGCCGATGTTATTCTTTTGATGTGGGTTTTAGGAGACATGTTTAGCGTGATATCAACTCCTAGATCTTTCTCTCTGTTCGTTTCGTGAAGGACTTCATCTCCCATTCTGTATCCAGTGTCTGGCCTCCTATTTCCTCCCCCTAGTTTCATTACCTTGCATTTACTTGGATTGAACTTTAGTTGGACCATTCATTCAGTTTGTGTAAATCATCTTGTAGCCTCATACTATCTTCCTCCGTTTAAATTCTCCACATAATTTTTCCATCGTACGCAAACATTGAGAGGAACAAGTCTATTCCCCCTGGGAGATCCTTTATATATATTAGGAACAGTACAGGTCCAAGAATTGATCCATGAGGGATTCCACTGGTGACGTCTCGCCACTCTAAGACCTCATCCCTCACAGTGACTCGCTGTCTTCTGTTGCATAGGTACTCCCTTATCCAGTGGAGTACCTTCCCTTTCACTCCTGCCTGCATGCCCAGTTTGTGCACCAGTCACTTATGGGGTACTGTGTCAAAGGCATTCTCGCAATCCAAAAATATGCAGTCTGGCCAGTCCCTCTCTTTCTTGCCTAATTTTTATTGCCTGGTCATAGAATTCAGTCAGTCCATTGAGGCATGATCTGCCATCCCTGAGTCCATGCTGATGTTTTGAAACAAAGACCTTCTGTTCCAGATGTTCCATTAGTTTTTTTGTTGCAATCTTCTCAATCACTTTGCATGGTAAGCAAGTTATTGACACTGACGTGTAGTTCAGTGCCTCATGTCTATTACCTTTCTTGAATATCGGCACTACATTAGCTATCTTCCAAGTTTTTGGCAGTTCACCTGTTACCAGTGACTTGTTATATACCATGGCGAGTGGCTGAAACAAATCTTCTGCTCCTTCCGTCAATATCCAAGGTGAGATTCCCTCCGGGCCTATAGTCGTTTGTCACTTTCAGCTCTCGCAGATGCTTCCTCAGCTCCCCACTGGTAATTTCAAACTCATCTAGTGGTGTTTGATTAGATATTCCCTCTCCTA